AATATAGGATAAGAACTAATAAAGAGCTTGAAGAACTTTACCCAGACGCCAACAGCATAAAAGAAATAAAGTCCAGAAGACTCCAATGGGCAGGACACCTCAGAAGACATTCTGACGAACGAACAGTAAGACTGGTGTGGGAGGAAGTCCCAACTGGAAGGAGACCACGCGGACGCCCTCGTCTCTGGTGGCGAGATAATATAGCAGGAGACCTAAGCACTATGGGCGTGGAGAATTGGATGGAGGTTGCTCAAAACAAAAAACAGTGGAGGCATGTTGTCGAGTCGGCTAAAACCCACGAAGGGTTGTAACGCCACGGAGTAAGTAAGTAAGTTATTCTTCATCAACCAGGAAGACGATATGGGTGCTGTGCAAGATTATATGCGTCTTCAGGACAAGGTCAGGTCACTTATGTGACCTTTTTGGTAGTGTAGGCTAAATATATTTTATAGTAGCATATTATTTTGTTATTGTACAGTAGACATGCTTTAATTGTACAGTCATTTTTTATATTGTATTGCTTATATTCTTCTTTAATAAATCTTTGTGTCTTTAATACGGTGTTAATTCATTTATATTCGTTTTGATCAATTTTTTAAACTAAAATAGGTTTTTTAGTACAGTATTTTTAATATTACTGTTCCGAATTTTGTGTCTCTCTCTCTATAGAGAGAGGACTTTATTTGTAGCTGAAGAAGAAGAATATACATTTGTTATTTATTATTTCTCTGCTTAAAACATTGAAAGATTGATGCGGGTATTTAAACAAACTAGCATTTACAATTACATAACCTAAAGTAACACAAACAAATACATTTAAAACTTTTGTTGTCGAGTTTCCAACAAATTCATTAAAATTCACGACGAATGCACCTTAAACGGACCTATCTTCACTATTTGTATGCATTACAAATACCCAATAAAACTCAGACGATCAGATCTTATCTTATTGCCTAATGAATTGTAAGGACAACGCTGACTCTCCGTTCGAATTGTCCAAATAAAGTCAAACAACCATTCTCCATCCTTACCTGATTGTTAATAATCGGCTGCACCGTAATTTATTGGGTAATGTTTTTTTTATTGGCGTAAGAAACATTTCAGTTTGTTTTATCTTTAGAATCAAAGGCACTAATGAGGAATTGTTTGTAATACGTTTGATACTGAGTTATACTTACCTAGAGCGGTCGAATGAATATACCAAAGGTTATTTATGGGTGTATAATTGATAAGTCGAGTCGATAACATGTTGGTATTTAATGTATATAATAATTTGTAATGTAATTTGGTGTAATTTTAATGTAATGCTTTTAATATACAGATTGAACGAAATAAATTCGGAACATAGGAATATAATGTATTTCGTCTCAATTCTGCTGTAAGTGGTTGGCCAACAAAAGATTGTCAAATAATTACATTATAAAAGTCCCACACTTCAGCGGGCTGCTGGATTCTGAACTCATAAAAATTGAAAGCTACACATAAATCTACGATCTATGCTGTCAAACCAGTTATAGTCCAGGAACTGAAGCATTTCACCTCGCAATTTTTTCGTGCTGCGTGAATTGACTTGCAATTTAACAGAAGGTAATAGCCTAAGGATCAAAATCTAATCGAACCAAAGTGCGCCAAAGCCTAGGGGGTGGTTGCCACCCCATCTCCGGGGTGAAATTTTTTTTACGTTTTAACTACAGGTTTCGATTAAAAAAGTGATTCTAAACAAAAAATGTGCTATACATTTTTTTTATAAAATGATATTTTTCAAGTTATTCGCGATTGAAAGTAACAACTTTTAGACGAAAAAATCCACGTTTTTAATCGATTTTTCGCGAATAACTCGAAAATGGTGCATTTTATCAAAAAAATTGTAGAGAACAAATTTGTAGCTTTTAAAAAGACAAATACAATTCATTTTTTAAAATATTTTTTCGATATAATAGGAACCGAATACGGCCTATCAATGTTCAGCGGTTTTCTTCAAATGCCAAATTTGAAAGATTCAAAGTCAAATATCGGGAAAATGATGCATTTTTGGAAGAAAACTCACAAAACCTTTTTTAAAGAGCGTAAATAGACCTATCATAAAAAAAGACTCTAGCTCAAAAATTCAGTGAGTTATGATGAAAATAAGGTCAATACCTCATTTTTACGAAAAAATCGATGAAAACAACCCCCTAACCACCCCCATAATTAAAATCGATCTTCACCCTTCTGCAATTCCCTTTGTACATATATTGTTAATACGTCCAAGAAGTTTGACCCATTTAAAATGCTTGGTTTTAGAAAAAGTACAGCTTAAAGCGAGAAACGATTAACAATTTCATATTTTTTACCCTTCTTTTTTTAAATATGCCCAAAAACACTGAATATATGAAAAAAATAAAAATTACCAAATTTTTCGAGCCCTTTAAACTCACCCCATGTAAAAACCAAGGGTTCCAAAAAGATTTAATTCACAGATTCCTTGTAGCTCTTAAAAACCTCTACAAATCGTTTTTGAAGAAACACTCTATCATTAAAAATTAAAGGAAATACGTTAAAAAAAAACAGTTAATTTTTTTCCGGAAAATTCCATTAGTATGTACGTACTCGAGATAAACAAAACCGGTATATTAGCTAGTATGGCGTTATACATTCGAAATTTTAAGCGTTCTTATTTTGAAATCCCATACAACAGAATAAAACATCTGCTTATATGTCGATGGCTTGGCAATGAAAATATCAGGGCAACAGATTGGGAATGGTATTCCAAAGATGGTTTGTTATTACCCGTACGCATGAACAAACAACCTGCACCCGATAAATTTTTGAAAATTATTTTTTGCCAATGCAAAAAAAGATGCGGCGTTTCATATGGGTGCAGAAAAGTTCGTTTATACTGTAACTCTACTTGTTCTGGGTGCTCAGGTGAAGGGTGCAATAACAGTCCACCAATAATTGAAGAAGATGAGGATGACATAGATCACGATGAAGATGTAATTGATGACGAATAAAATTAATATTATAATTGTTTTACCTATAAATGTAAATATTTTCAACTATTTATGTAAATGTATAAGAATATATGGTGCATTTTTATGTTGATAAATTTTTTTGTGTTTAATTCTACTTTTTTCAATTTATATCTTATAAATTAGTTTTAAAAAACTGCAATGTTGTAAAGGGTAATTTTGAAAAGTTGCAAAATTTTGGCAACAAATTGTTTTTACCTATAGCACTCATAACATTGATTTTTAAGGGTTGAAAATGTATGAATTTGTATTTTAAAGTATAAAAAAAATCACTATTTAACTAATCCAAACAAATTTCACTCATCTTAAGATTTGTAATATTATTTTACAATTTTTGAAAATTAGGGGTAGTTTTCACCCCTAAGAACAACCAGGGTTCATCGGCATGACATAAACTATAAAGCAGAGGGTGAGTTGAGCTTAATTCCAAATTTTTATGCAAATCATTCCAAGGTGAAATCATTTTCTTCGCATTACTAATTTTTTTATATTAATCTCTAATAAGGGTCGCTTTTTAAGTTTTGAAATATGATGAAACTTTATTCAAAAGCACGAAACTATCATTATTTAATTAATTCAAATCAAATTTTACCTATATTCAGGTTTAATATGTTATTTTATAATTTTTGACAATTAGGGGTAGTTTTCACCCCTAAGAACAATCAGGGTTCGTCGACATGACATAAACTATAAAGCAGCGGGTAAATTGAGCTTAAATCCAAATTTTTATCCAAATCGATCCAAGGCGAAATCATTTTTTTAGAATTAGTAATTTTTTTACATTAATCTTTAACAAGGGTTGCTTTTTAAGGGTTGAAATATGATGGAACTCTATTCAAAAGTATAAAATAATCATTATTTAACTAATTCAAACCAAATCTTACCCATATTCAGGTTTAATATGTTATTTTATAATTTTTGACAATTAGGGGTAGTTTTCACCCCTAAAACCCTTCAGCGCACTTCGATTCGATATAGATTTTGATCCTTGGGCTATCACCTACCTTCTGCTAAAATTTCAACTGGATACATGCAGGACGAAAAAATTGCGAGGTTTTAACTTTTTTCGAGCTTCATTTCCTGAACTATCTTCCTTAGACAAACCCGTCTTACGCAAACAACATTGTTGCGAGACAGATAGTTGAACGATATTTTATACAATGTCTATACCCAGGTATGGATTTATTTTTGTCCAAGTTTTATATTGGTCCACTATTTCAAATGCAGTTCAAACAGACGTGTATTAAATTGTATGTTCCGTTTTAATTTGATTCAATCTGTATATGTTACGAGCAATGTCCGAAAACGAAATATACGAAATACGAAAAACGAATACGAAATGATGAGATACGGCGAAGAACTGGAGTGGAAGACGTCATAAAACGGATTACGAAGTTGAAGTGGAAATGGTCAGGACACGTCGCAAGACAGAGAGACAACAGATGGACAAAAAAGATTTTAGAATGGCGGCCAAAGGCAGACAAGCGAAATCGTGGAAGACCACCTACCAGATGGACGGACGACATTAAAAGAATAGTGACAAACTGGATCGCAGCTGCACAGGACAGAGAAGAGTGGAGACATCTTGAGGAGGCCTATGTTCGACAGTGGACAAATTTGGCTGTATGATGATGATGATGATGAATGTCCGAAATTGGACAATCCTAGCATTGTACGGAAAATCTTGTCCACTTCTAGCATTGTATCCCTTTACTGTAAAATCTTCGAAATAAACATACTTGTCGGAATTTGTATAAAAGTTGCTGTAAAATGTTCGAATTTCAATAAGTAGCCATGAGTAGCAAAGTTTGGGAGAATATGACGATAATTAGAGCTTCTGACTTCTGGATTGTAGGATTAAATTATTTTAAATTATCATACACATCTCCTGAAAATCTGAAATGTTTCACAAACATCTTCCCTGTATTATCTGTATATTTCTGGAAAAGCAACGCCAATAATACAATGAGGTTAATGCGAGTAACTAACATGTCTTTATATTGTTATGTAAGTGTGCTTATTATCAAGTTGCACAGTCAGCATAATATAGTAATTGAATAATTTAAAGCATCGGAAAACTTAACTATGTGCCAATATGAGAAAATTGGCACATAGTTTAGTAAAATACAAATCCCGACTTCTTGTTGTGAGTTCTCAGCGTGTTAGAGATCCAACATTAATAAGGCTAACAACAAACAAGGGGCTAAGGGTGCAAAAGCTCCGAACCCCAAATCTGAGCCGAAGACGTCAGCAAACGGCGGGGCAGTGGTCAAATATCCGATTCGCAGCTGTTGTGTACATTCAATCAGTCCCGTGTTTTAACAGTATGCGTCAAGACGCCTGCTGATGCCCACGTCGTCCCTTTTCCGATACCTTCTTGGTAAATATGCGATGGTGAAGATGCCGTATAGTAGGTGGGCCTGAAAATTAAAGCAGATCTATACAAGGCAAAATCTAAAAAGATTAAGAACAAATCAATCAAATCCAAAACTCGTAGACAGACGCATTAAATCTAGACGAATAAAGAGGAAAATACGTCGTCAGTTAAATATAATATAATATAATATAAGATGTTAATAAATTGAAAAAGATGACACTTCCGAAGATAGAGATGTTTCTCAAGAAAGTACCTAAAAATAATAATAATAATAATACTAAATTGATATTATTTAGTGGAATGTACAAGCATTATTTACACACTTTGAAACGCTTCAACTCCTAATAAAAGAAATAAACCAACAAATTATAGTTCTACAAGAAACAAACTTAAAAAACAACAAAAAATACAACTTAAAACATGTTGATTCATACCACAAAATCAGAAACTATGCCAACAAAGCAAGCGGTGGATAATCAATATATGTTCATTCTAATCTAGAATCAGAAGAGACTCCTTTACACTCTGCTTTAGAATCCGTCGCAATTAAAGTTCAATGTCCAACTGAGCTATTCGTATGCAATGTTTATATCCCATCAGATATGAATTTTGTTGCAAAAGACCTGGAATATTTAATCGAGCAAATTCCAAAACCTAGACTTATTCTAGGTGACTTTAACTCTCACAACATTTCCTGGGGATGTTATTCCACAGACAAAAGAGGAGAACAAATAGAAACATTTTTTCTTCTTCTTCTTCATTTGGTTTGTCCGTTCCGAACGTTGGCAATCAACATGGCTGTTTTGACTTTGTTTACGGCAGATCTGAATAGTTCAGCAGATGACAATCCGAACCATTGCCGCAAATTTTGGAGCCACGAGTGTCTTCTCCTCCCTGGACCCCTTCTGCTATCTATTTTCCCCTGAACGATCAGCTGTAGTACTCTATATTTATTATGTCTCATAACGTGGCCCAAGTATTCCAACTTTCTTTTCTTTATATTTATTCCTACCTCTCTCTTTACCTATCTGGCGTAGTACCTCTTCGTTGGTCACGTGCTCAGTTCAGGATATACGTAATATACGTCGGTAAGCCCACATTTCGAAGGCCTCTACTTTTTTCATCAATGTTGCGTTCATTGTCCACGCCTCCATTCCATTTAACAAAACCGGGAATACATATCATTTCAGAAGTCGAATTTTGAGAGGTAGGCTGAGGCTTTTAGAGGTGAAAATTTGCTTCATGCTAGTGAACGATGCTCTTGCCTTTTCTACTCTTATACGTATTTCCTTCGCTTGATCCCAATTTGAGTTAACTGTTGTTCCCAAGTAGATGTACGAATCCACGTGTTCAATTCTTTCATTGTCTAATATCATTTGCTGTGGTGGTTGTTGGGTTTTGCTTACTAACATCCATTTGGTTTTTGTGATATTTAGTCTGAGTCCGTATTGTGCACTTGTTTTTTATATCTTACTCATTAGGCAACTCATTTCCTCCATGCTACTTGCTAGAATCACAGTGTCATCAGCATAACTTATGTTATTAATTATTTCTCCATTTATCTTTATGCCTTCTGTGCTTTCCTCCAGCGCTGTCTTAAATACTTCTTCTGAGTATATATTAAAGAGAATTGGAGACAAGATACAGCCCTGTCGTACCCCTTTCTTGATCTCAATTTTATTGGTCAATGTAGATCCTACTTTCACTTTAGCTGTTTGACCCCAATAAAGACTCGCTATTGTTCGAATGTCTCTGTAGTCGACTCCGATCTTATGGAGAACTTCAATTATCTTTTCGTGCTTTACGTTATCGAATGCTTTTGCGTAGTCTATAAAGCATATGTACACGTCTTTGTTCATATCTCTGCAGCGCTGGATGAGTACCTGTAGACTAAAAAGTGCTTCTCTTGTTCCAAGAGAATTCCGAAACCCAAACTGCGAATCTCCAATGTTATCCTCGCATTTTTTGCTTATTCTGTTGTAAATAACCTTGGTGTATGCCTTCGAAATGTGGTTAATTAGACTTATCATCCGATGTTGATCACAAGACTTTGCTTTTGGTTTTTTCGGTATGGCAACAAAAGTTGACTCTAGCCAGTCTTCAGGAAACTCCCCGCTGTTATAAATATTGTTAAAGAGTCTGACGAGTGAGTCTAGAAATTGACTGTTTGTTTCGCACAGCATTTTCAATACTTCCCCGTATACGTTATCGTTGCTTGGTCTTTTGTTATTTTTAAGACCCTTTATAGCATTTTCCACTTCTGATTTTAGAATAGAAAGGCCAGTATCATCATTGCTCAGTGTATACCCACTAGGACGGTCATCATTAAACTGTTGTTCCACATAAGTTTTCCAGATTCTAACTATTTTGTCGGGGTCTAGTTGTAGATTTCCATTATCATCGCACAGCCTTTTCGATAAAATATTGTAGCTTTTCTTTGTTGTGAGTTCCTTTATCTTCTTATGCATATTGTGATAGTCGTTTCAAACATTTTTTAATTAAACATATTTTTTACTATTAAATACAGAGAAAAAACTCACTGTGTTGTGGCTACCTCTGTTAACAGAGGCAGCCACAAATATTATACGCAAAACGACAAAATCAAAACGTAACTATTCAGTACCATGGTGGAACAAACAATGTGAAGAGGCACTTGAAGTAAGCATGCATTTAATCTATTAAAAAAACATCATACACCGGAAAACATGACAGCTTTTAAAAAATATGGAGCCTACGCAAGGTACGTAATTAAGAAAAGTAAACGTGAATCATGGCAAAATTCTGTCTTCACAATATCCGAAAATATTCATGCATCAGAGATCTGGAATAAAATCCGTAGGATTTTAGACACAAACGGAGAGAGACTCCTACTAGGAGAGAGATCTAAACACCTACTAAGGAAGTGACCTCCTAGGATATGCTATGGCTGTGATACCAATATAGCTGTAAGCCACATTGTTACAGACTGTCCATTATATCAAATGGAAAGACAAACTATTGGGCTACCAAGTGGTATAAAGAACGCTTTAGGCAGTGCGGATTGTGACAAAATCATTAGGTTTTTAAAGAAAACGAAATTGTATAATCAAATATAAGTCCTACTTCAAGAAAAATTCTAAATTATAATTAACTTTGTAAAAACTATATAGTTTATATTTTATATTAATCATTATAATATATTACAGTCTATACAGGGTGAGTCATGAGGAACTTTACATACTTCTACCATATATAGAGTCCCTCAGGGAGCATATCATGTGGCCACTAAAAAATGTCAACTCCTCTTCTTTATTATTTAACAGGGTGATTTGTGTAATTGACCATTTATTTTATTTTACTGTAGTGTTTATACGGCTCATTTGATTTTTTAATTTTTGCATGATACAGTACACTATTATCAAGCATTCGACTGGTACTAGCTAAACTAAAAATTCCAGGACTGGCTTTGGAAAAATTAATTTAAGGATTCGTATTAAATATTACACCCTGTATATATATTTTTTTAAATGTAATAAGTGATTTTCAAACTACATAAATATCCAATGAAAACGACATATGCGACAATGTTGTCGCACTTTTATTAAATTTTTAGTGAACGATCAAATCTTACCAAAAATAGAACAACCATAATGAAGTATCAAATTATAAGGTAATTAATTTAAACAAATGTTATAAATTGCAAACATTTTAATTAAAATGAGTTCCTACAACATAATCTAATACGTAGAAAATTAACATCTTTACTGTCACTTTGTATTATCTCTACGATACAATCAATTGTTTTTTAATTTTAAATTTTTACTCATAGATCGTATTGGGGCATTATTTTCGATAAATAATAAATTAAATTGATTAAAAAGTCAAACCTCTTCTATGTGTTAGTTTTTGTTGATTGTAAATATTTAAAATTGTATGTCAAATATAATACATTGCATCAACTGTACTTCTTCTTCAAGTGCCGTCTTCGTTCCGAAGTTTGGCTATCATCAAAGCTATGCGTATTTTTGATGCTGCAGATCTAAACAGTTGGTAATTGGTGCAATTGTACCATTCTCTCAAGTTTTTCAACCATGAATGCCTTCTTCTTCCTATAGATCTCTTAGAGATCTCTTTCCCATTATCTTTCCCTGTATAATCAATTGCAGCAACTGGTATTTATCTCCCCTCATAACATGTCCCAAATATTGTAGTTTGCGCTTTTTAACAGTAAGTATCAGCTCTTTCTCTTTCCGCACTCTCCGCAAAACCTCCACATTTGTTACTTTCTCTGTCCAGGGTATTCTTAATATTCTACGATACATCCACAACTCAAATGCTTCTATCTTTTTCTATCAACTGTACTAAATAAAATAAATCTAAAAAAGTTTAAAATGAAGGTTGGCGTTGACCGTTTGACGTTTCTTGATATTTTATACCCATTGTCATTATTGTCATTATCAATTGTTATTTATGTGTACAAGAATACATATTTCTTCTGTCATATCTACGTTAAGTACATTGTGTTAGTTTTGGTAGAGCTTTTGTTACTTTCGTTCAAAATGCCACATCAGTTTTCGACCACAGAATATGCAGACATAATATTCCTTTATGGATTCTGTAATGGGAATGGTAGGGCTGCTTGGTAGAGAAT